CATCTGGCGTTACAAAGGCTGTTTTAGGGCGATCACATTCAGCCATTGGCACCTGCCAATACCCAGAACGCAGATCCAAGGATGTAAAGTACTCGGGGCCTTGTAAACAGTCAAGAGCATCGTCTATTCGTGGTAGCGGGTAGACATCTTTCTTCGTAATCTTGTTTAAGCGGCGATAGTCCACGCAAAATCGAACGGTGCCATCTTTTTTCTTGACCAGAACGACAGGTGATGACCAAGCGCTTTGAGAAGGCTGTATCACTCCACGTTTAAGCATGTCGTCTACTTGCTCCGTAATGACGCGGCGCTCTTCGGCGGAAACGCGGTAAGGACGCTGTCGCAGAGGCAAATGTGAGCCGGTGTCAATAGTATGAGTGATAGTCGTGGTGCGGCCCAAAGCAGGTTCTTGAAAGTCGAAAGAAGAGCGAAACTTGTTAAGGAGAGCAACAAGTTGGCGGCGATGCGAGAGGGGAAGGTCTGCGTCAATAGCATTGTCGAAGGCTGACAAACTTGATGGCTCAGACGCATGAGTTATTGCGGCAATGTGACATGGCGTTTCGTCGGGAAGAATAATATCATCGATATGGTCGACAGGTTGCACATATCCCAACGTTTCACCACGAAGTAAGCTGATGGGGTAGTTGCAGTGGTTGGTAACCAGCATTACGGTTAAACTAGATGCAATTGTAAGAACGGCAAATGGGAGAACGATGCCCTTGCGTTCAGTAAAAACAGAAGATGGCGTAAACACTACCGTGGCGTCAGGTTGCGCCACACATGAAAGGCTTACAGGGACCGAAGCTTCCGGGGGCAAGGTGATGTCGTCGTCAGCGATGAGTTTGCAGAGCCGAGGAGACCGGTCGGGTGGTGGAAATTCATATGTTGGCACAAGGGACACTTCGGCACGGGAACAATCGATGATAGCTTCATGACCTGATAAGAAATCCCAACTGAGGATAAGGTCATGAGAGCAAGATGGCAGAACAAAAAACTGTACGACGTACAAAACATCTTGGATGACGACGCACGCCGTACACAGAGCCGAGGGATGAATGCGTTGCGCGCTAGCCGTGGACAGCACCATGCCACAGAGAGATGTGGTCACTTTCTTCAGTTTCCGACAAAATTTGACGTCCATCACAGAAACGGCGGCCCCGGTATCAATTAACGCTAATGTGGCGACTCCCTCAACATCGACATCAACAACATTTTTCGGCGAAAACGGAGGCCTTGGGAATTGCGCACAAGTTGCAGTTCTTGCCTCCGGAACTGCACTGATTAGTTTCCCTCCTCAGGAGGTGGTCGACGACGCATAGGCGATGGCGACCGGCGACGAGGGGATGGGAAACGAGCAGTCGATGGGCGGCGATCCGAGTCTGAGTGCCTCTGTTCATATGCAGATGCGGTGGCCTGCTGCGGCGCGTAGGTAGGAGTTCCAAAGTATGCGTTTGCAGGTGTGGTGCGACGGCGGCAGAAGCGTGCAATGTGGCCAGCGATGCCACAGGCGAAGCAGATAGGACGATTGTCTTGAGTGCGCCACTCATTAGATCGATGGAAAAAGCGAGGTGAGGGCCTGTAAACTGGAGGCGAGGCCGGAGGAGGTGGAGCTGATAAGGCGACTGGATGCGGTGGGGGCCGCGCGACCACAGCTGCGTAGCTGAGAGGTGAAGGTGGTGCAGGTGGTGCGTAGCCGACAGCTGAGAGATTAGGCGCTACTGAAGTGCACGGGTAAGGGGCCTGCACTGTAGGGAGGACATCACAAATTTCCGTGCGTATGGCCTGCTGCAGTGTCGTAGGCAGGCTTGCGGTGGGCGCGTCGCTATGCGGCAGCAGGGAGAGCTGTCGGGTGACTTCCTCCCTGATGAAGTCTTTGATCTGGTTGGACAGACTTTCTTTACAAACGTTGGCATTTGTGAGTGTGACGGCCGAGATCGAATCCGGCGGTAGGACACTCTGTCGGGCGATGGAACGCTGACGGCGCAATTCATCAAAGCTCTGGCAGAGGCTTACGAGGATTGCCACCGTGTTCGGGCTTTTCGCTAGCAACATCTGGAATGCGCCATCCTCGATGCCCTTGAGAATCTGCCGAATTTTTTCTTCTTCGAGCATAAATGGATTCACACGCTTGCAGAGGTCGAGCACGTCCTCTATGTAACTAGTAAACGTCTCGCCAGGCTGCTGGGCTCGGTGGCGCAGGCGCTGGTCAGCGCGGAGCTTGCGGACCTCTGGTCGGCCGAACGCTTCAGTGACGAGTGTCTTAAAGGAAGACCAGTTGGCGATGGCGGTTTCGCGGTTCGTAAACCAAAGTTTAGCTACGTCTGCCAAGTAAAATATAACGTAGGCGAGCTTAGAGTCGTTGTCCCACTTGTTACTGGCGCTTACGCGTTCGTACAAGGAGAGCCAGTCCTCGACGTCTTGCTCGCCACTGCCGCTGAAGATTGGTGGGTCCCGTTGGCGAGTAGCGCCGGGGCAGGTAGACGGGATTGCCGGTGGTGCTGGCTGGGCTGGGATGGGCTGGTTGGCGACTGCGTCAGTCATGTTTTGCAGTGGTCTCTCGGGCAACTTGCGAGAGCGGAGCTCCAGGTCTGCTTGGGGATCTCAGCAACCTCCACCAAATGTGATGACGTTTATTGAACCGGAGAAGTCGCAACGATGTCGCAACGAAAAATGGCCGTACGACAAGTCTGGCAAAAGGCGGCCCAGGTTCTCGTGCAATCAGAGCACGGGGTTTTTCCTTTTCTTTGGAAGGCGCATACACGTTAGTGCGTATGCTCCACTACAATATATATATATATATATATATATATATATATATATATATATATATATATATATATTTATATATATATATATATATATAAATATAAATATATATATGTATATGTATATATATATATATATATATATTTATATATATATATATATATATGTACGTATATATAGATAGATAATATATATATATATATAATATATATATGTGTGTTTGTGTGTGTGTGTTACAATGTACATATACAAGTTATATTTTTTAAAACAAATGCCCCCCTGTCTGCCAACACTTTTGACACTTAAAAAAAGACAACTACAAATATAATACAAAACATTGCCATAAGCTTGCAGGCTTCCAATGGCGTTTGAAAAGCAGCACAATTTAAGCTGTCGATACAGAATGAGAATTGGTTGCAGTGAATTTACGCAGATTAACTGAGGGGGTATATATATATATATATATATATATATATATATATATATATATATATATATATATATATATATATATATATATATAACTGGCACTTTTTAATATGTTTAACATGACCACTTCTGCGTAGAGCTCATGACTCGAATGTACACGCGTTCCTTTAGCTAGGCTCCCTAGCTGCCTCCTTATATTATCAGCTCTTCGAGCATGCATAAAAGAAGCACAGTAAGCACTGAAGCACGCGGTTAAAACAACATAAGCCTTTCAGAAAGCTTAATAGTTATCTTCTGCAAAACTGGCATGATAAAATTGAGTCTTCATCAGTATAAATGTTGTAACAATTTTACTGATACTCAGATTTCTCATGAAACAATCGAGCACGTGTGGACTCATATGAGGAACAGTGCTCCGGATATCGTTGAGACAGCCAAAAAAACAACGGCGTGATTTAAATGCGGTTTTGGTACCTCGCCTCTCCTTGTAGTTCGGAAGAAGCTACTTTTAATGTAGCTCTGCTTTAGTGAGAAGCTAGGCTGATCCGTACAAATTTTGATTGTACATTTTTTTGTTGCAGGCCCTTGAAACAGTGAATGTTTTGACGCAGTTTTGGCAGTGCCTGTATATTCACTCATGCACTATGACACGTAGCATTTGTACATACACAGAATAAAGTTCAGAATTGTATTGAACGCCCTGAAAATGAGCAATTACACGCTTCCGCAGGCTACGGTGCGCGCGCAACCAATGCAGACGCTCCTGGGATATTCAGTACCATGTGACTGCAGTGCTGCCGCCATTGTAACCCGCCGAGGAAAAAGGCGAGATGCGGCGCGGCCGCCTCGTTCATTCCACTGCCCCCTTCTAGTGCACTGTAGCGGTGGGGCATATTATTAGGGACTACACTACGCCTTTGCGCTGCTGCAGAGACGAAAAAATGCTTTTGAACTCCTGTGAAACAGTCCCGCAAAGATGTGTTTCTTGTTTTTACGCGGGTCGTTGACACTGCCAGGCACGTCGAGTGGCGATCGACGATAGGCTTGAGCAAGTCGCCCGAAAAAAATAGGGCGCGGCTTCGTGGCGTAACTATGGTTGCTGACCAGGTAAGATGGCAAACCTCTGCGCAACTCTGCTCCCGTAGGGAGCACATAAAATGACTCTAGAACGCCATTTTTTTTGCAGCGCCATCGCACGGTATTTAGCAAAAGGGTCAGTGTCCTTCGAGACTTTAGTAAAAACAGGACTCGAAACGAGATTTCACCTATCGTGAATTTTGTAGCTATACGTCGCAAGGAAAGCTAGATTCAAGAAATAAGGGAAAATCAAAAGAGCTGCAGCAAATGATCCCACCACTCACAGCTCGGTTGAATCCTTGGCCTTCTGAGTGGAAAGCGAGTGGGAAGTCTACCGGTGCACCACTTCAGTGGAGCCGCACGTAACTCTTAAACGATGACACATTACAGGCTACCGATCGCAGCACCACAAGTGACTAGGTCTCATTTGACTTCATTATCTGTACGTAAGTGCTGCGGCTATACCAAAAAAATTCCTGCTTTAGTGCACCATAGCATTCTTTGAGTTTTCAGGTGATTTAGACAGTAAAAAAACGTTGGTGATGAACAAATGCTACTATGCAATGGCGTCACTCCTAGGGTGTGCTGATATACTGAGACAACAGCAGCTCATTCCTTAACAACAATAAAAAAGTGCGAATTCCGTAAGCAGACTTAGCTCTAGAAATTTCAATGTTATTTTAGTTATCACGCTAACTAGAAGATAAAAACAAAAAAAAAAACAGCCGTACTTCAAATCTCGATCTGTGTGCTCCGAGGCGTCGTAGCTCTGAGTCATCAGTGGGAGTTGCTCAATGCAGCTGATCAACACTTGAATGTCCCAGCACTCGTAGGTGTTCAGGAGCGCTACGCAAAAAAAAGAGAAAAAAGAAAACAGGCTGAAGTTATTTACTAAAATAAATTCAGAAGTAATGTACACACAGTCATACAGTGAATGCCGGTAGGCGGAAGGCTTGATGGTGGTTTTTGGAAAACATGGATCACCGCAATATGTTCTGGGGGGAGGAGGGTGCCACGTGTACGGTTGTTTAGTAGCTATCTGCGTTAAACATTTTCACCTCTTGTTTTCCCCTCTTGACAGTATCGTTCGAGCTCATTCAATCTTACTAGAGTAGCTCATCCTATGAGACAATGTATCTTGTGTGAGCTTTCTTTTATAGCGATAGCTGCTACACTGATACGCTAAATGGGTTTTCGCTATCACCGCGACGTCACCAACGCAGTGATGGTCCTTATAAAGTCCAAAGTGATAACATCCTCCAACACATCGCGTGCTGTAATAAACAGGACCACACTAGAACAATAGCTTTATTACCAACTTGATGGCCTCTTCAAGCCACACCCCCATTGTGCCCATTACTGTCCAGTACAGTTCCTTACCCCAGGGAAAAAGCAACGTCCGAGCGATTTATCGGCGGCAGAGGAAAGGTGTATCGTAACAACAATATACGCATTTGACATGAACAACATTGCGCTGCCGGCGGTGTTTATCCGAAAATGGTCCTAAGGGTTAAAAATATAATTCACGAGAGACGTTTGCTTCACAACATGGTGGCGACCCTGGCACTTCAAAACAAACTTTGGTGACAGTGCAGGGCTTGTGGCAGGCACCAAAAGCTACACTAGCAAGCGAGGGTCTTGTGAGTGAGTGAGTGAATAAACTTCTATTTGGTCCGGGAAAACGCGATAAAACGCGCATCTGGCTAAGCCATTCATAGGAAGCCATGACCAAACCGAGAGGTCTAGCATGCCGGCTCGATCACGTGCACGCTGGTCGGCCAGGATTTGGTCTTCGAAGACAAGATTTCACAGGAGCGTGTCCCGCTTTTCCTTATTGAAGGTCGGGCCCAGCGGCGCGCACTCCTAGAGCATGTGAGGCAAAGAAGCATCCTCTCCGCAAACCACGTAAGAACTACTCGTGTGAATTTCCGGATAGATCCTATTAAGGAACTCAGGATTAGGCTAAGAGTTGGTTTGCAGGATTCTGAGCGTAACCGCCTGCAGTCTGTTCAGCTTGGTATGAGGTGGCGGGAAGAGCCTTCTTTCTAAATAATTTAATTTGACTATGTTATTGTGCGTGCTACGAGCGTCCTCGTGTCCAGGAGGAAAGGAGCCTGATCCGAGGGTAGCGCGGTCGGTAAAGTCACGCTAAGCCTCGTGGGCAGACTTGTTAATGTTCAGAGAAACCCCTTAATTGTCCCGATGTGAGCAGGGAAGCTGGAGATGCTGAGTGCGGGACTGTCACCTTTTCTGGCGTTTCTCAGAATACGAATTACTTGCCGTCTTGTCCAGCCTTTTTGAAATGCCCTGACGGCTGCTTTGCTGCTTTGGGGTCACTATACACGCTCTTCTTTGACTACGTGTGAAGGAAATATTTTTATATCAGGTGACTTCAACTCCCATCATATTACATGGGGAGTATAAACTCATACGTGTGGCAGCTCGTTGTGCCGATGGACCCAAGATAATCATTTTTCTTGTCAGAATTCGGGAATCCCAACATACGTATGCAGTCATACTTCTTCAGCACTGGATTTAACTTTTACAAGCTCCACCATTATTGTTTCATCTTGTTCAGTCGCTGAGAGCGACTGAAAAAGATTAGTATCTAATGGCCGAGTGCCAGTGTACGCCTGAAGAAAAGTAAGCATTTACTACTGACAAAACCTGCCCTGTTAGTATAGTTAAGCCTACTGTAAGAATTCATTGGACTTCGTCTTCCTCATCTGTCAATAACCATCATCAGTCTTCGCTTGGGCCCTCTTCATCATCGGCGCCATCTTGCTGTTGCTTGTATAAAGTGTCAGCTGAACCATGATATTTCAAGTGGTGGAAGGTGCTTTCCGATCTCTTCGACTTCTATCCATCCAAAGCCTGCTCCTGGAACTCCATTTGGGACGTCGCTTACGCCAGCAGAGCACCATGGCGCAAGAGCAAGCCCAACCGAACCACGCTCCGGCCCAACCACCCGCCGCCAACCCCAGCTCGGTCAACAACCCCTCTCGAGAGTCTCCAATCTTCTCCGGTCTGCCTGGTGAAGCTGTCGAGGACTGGCTCGACAACTATGACAGCGTAGGTGTCTAGAACAACTGAAACGAGGCATCAAAATTAGCACGCGTCCACTTTCACGTCTCTCAGGTTGCCAAGACATGGTTCCTAAACCACGAGAGCGACTTCCACGATTGTTCTTCTTTCAAAGACCAGCTTCGACTTGTTTTCGGCACACCGACCGCCCATTACGATTAATATTTCGTATAGCGGGGAGAGGAGCTTTGATGCCAGTTTGGCTTTGTGGCATGGTTTGTTCGTAATCATTGTCACTATTCCGCTACCTTTCGTAGGGCGGTCTAGTCTGAACAAATGGTAATTTTTAAAGTGAAGATTAGTATCGGGAGCAATCGAAGATTTTTGAAGTAACATTAAATGGAGATTTAGTTTATCACACAGTAAATGTAAGTCAGTAAGAGCAGCAAATAGAGAGCAACAATTCCACTGCAGACCTCTCAGGGACGCTATTTTTGTCCTAAGAATTGTTGCGGAGATAACTTTCTCCAAAATACTTTCTTTAAATATTTTACAAGACGGAGTGTTTTTTAGTTTAGACGGAAAGGGACTTGAAACGTCAAGGTTCAACGGAGACCAGTTGCGTTTCTGGGCCCGAGCATCAAGCTCGACATCAGTGGACACATTTAGGTCTAACAATTGTTCGTGGACAACGTTCGTCATGCACTCTGAGGAGTCCTGAATGTTATTCGCGATATTCACCTTATCATTACATATTGCAGTAGCATCACTGGCAGTCGGTGTTTTATTGGGCTCAGGATTACCCAGAGCAGTACGGATGACAGCTTAGTAATTTGATTACTGACAACTTGTGCTATGCATTCGGAGATGCTAGCTGCAAATTGGTCCATTACTGTGGCGATAGGTCTTCCTACCACTACCTCATCTGCCTGCGCAATATTATCATCCTGACATTAATGATGTGCTGTAACACCAGCACAGTCATGGGCTCTCTCCTTAACAGCCGCAATGGCTTCCTTTCTAGAATATATCCTTTTATCTAGGATTTCTATAATTTCTACTTCTTCATGGCGCATTGGGCACTCTGCGAAATTAGCTGCGTGATGTTCACCGCACAAGCAACACAATTCATCTTGGGCCTTACAGTCTTAATCTGACTGGTGTTCGCCACATCTACGATATCGACCCTCTAATTTGCAGCCACGAGAGATCTGCCCGAACCTCCAGCAGCTCTGACATTGCAATGGGCGAGATGCTAACTGATCTACTGTAAATACTAATGGCCATGCTTTAATTTCTGAAGGGCATGACGTATCTGCGAAAGTCGCAATCACTGAATCTGTGAGATGTCGTTTGTTGTCAACCAGTCGATTGCCCCGGTAAACTGCCGCCAGACCTGCCACAGACAGCTTGTTGAGCGTCTACGCAGGGCATAGTTGTGCGTCAACCCCACGCACAATGACTTAGTGCATGCGAGATGTCGCGGTATATACGCACTCACCGGGATCGAAACAGAGGATGAACACTTAAGGAGATCTTTTACAAATTGCTGATCTAGGTGTTCGACATACAATGCCACCGCGACGAAACTGCAGCACGTCGGTTATGCTCTGGTAGTTTGGGGTCACGACATGGAGATGTAATTGTGTCGCCTTAGGGTTATTCAGCTTTATGAAGTGTTCAGCCAAAGCTACTAGAGCGATGGGAATATTGATCACACCACTGCGTAGAAACAAGTTGAGAAGTAAATCATCATTTTGTAGTGAGGCCGTCCAAAGGCAACAATCCTGACCTTAAGAATACCAAGACATCATCAGTACAGCCTCAAGACTAGATCAACAAAAGAAAAATGATCCTGCATGTAATAATGAAAAACACACCAAATACTCGGCGAAAGATAAAACTATCTGGTACTTAGCCACTGAACCAGCACCGAGAACCGGCTAACCAGATCAAATGCCGCTTGCAGATCGGTTGCAGAAGCATCCGAAGACACTCTGCTTCATGCTGCCACCCGTCCGCAATCATCAGCAACATCCACGTCGGAAACCTCAAAAGCCTTGTCCTTTCGGTACTCCACGGTATCTACGAAGCTCGCCTCAACTTCGTTCTTCAAAATTTGCTGAAGCATCGTCGCCACTCTTGCCTTGCGACGACCTGCGTTGCGCACTGGATGGACATTTCAGGGCAGCGGAGCAACGATGAGCTTCTCTCTTATTTATTCAAGTAATTATGGGTTGCTAGCGAAATTCTTGTTGGGGGCAAGTACGAGTGCTTCTGTATTTGCTTTCCAGCCAACATGGTAGAGAGCCGAACTAGCTGTGCCCGTTCCTGAGCCTCAGCTATCTCCTCCATGGTGTTGTGTTGCCGAGTCGAAGGAGGTCTTTTGTATGCGTTCTGACGGGCAGCCCGAGGACTCTCTTGACGTTTTTTTCTAACGAGGACATTAAGCTTGTAACGCTCTGCTTTTAGCCGGTTGTGCATGGCTACCGTGTAAGTGAAGTGACACAGCACAAAGCGTTGATAAGCTGAAGCAGATTGCCTCCTTGAAGCCCCGACATCTGTTTGTGACTCTTTGAAGGAAGCCAAAAGCGTTGCCAGTCTTTGCAAGGCCCTGGTGTCCCTGGTACTGATGTCAATTATTTGATGCTCGATCATCTTCAAGGCATCCTGCGTCGACAAGCCGGCTCGGAAGGCAATCGTGTTGTGAATATGGACGTTGTTGTCTTCCAGATATCGGCTCAATCGGTCGAGGACGATGTGCTCTTCCACTTTCCCCGGCACATCATGTAAGAGAGATGGGTCAGAGGTCATCGATATTT